AGAGGGAAGGGGAGGAATGATGTTCTACCTTGTGAAATTGCTTGGAAATTGAAAGGAATTTGGAAACATAGGTTCTCGCAAATTTAGCTTCCACCTTGTAACTAAAGCTCTAGGTAAGCGAAATTTAACCCCTCTTTTGTTGTGTTTAAGCTCATTCATGGTAGATTCTTGAGCCTCTAGTGATTCAGTCTAGAATTGGTTCATTGTTGTTGATTTGGACTCATTTCATGCATGCATGTTTGTTAATGTAGATGTTTGAGTTGTTTCATGGCAAAGGTTAACCAGTGCATGTCCATCTTTATAGAGTAATACTCATGAAATTCATATAGATTTCTTGAAGAAATTGAACGTCATTTGAACCAAGCTTTGAAGATTGAATTTGGTTTGAATCCATGCATCGTTTGCAATGTTTTTCATATTTTGAAAATGGGTTTGAATGTGGTTAATTGACTCAACCTTTTGGGGCTTGAATTCATAAATTGAGCTTTGAAACTTGTTATACATTGAATTTAGTGATGTTTTCCAGAATTTGGGCCCAAGAGGTCGAGTTTGGATGGTAGAATGCTTGGTTTGAGCTTGGGAGGCAAATCTGGAAATTCCAAGATTTGCTTCCTCGCTCGAGCGAAGGATTCCCAGTGTCGAGCGAGCATCTTTGTCCAGGGCTCGCTCTGAGCACATCGAGGGCGACCATCGCGCGTAAAAATCACAGCATCCAGTATTTTTACTGTTTTGCAGACCGCTCGAGCGAAGGATTCTCGCTCGAGCGAAGCCTTTGATTTTGGACTTACGCTCGAGCGGAGAAAGTCTCGCTCGAGCGAAGCTCCGATCTTCAGGCAAACTTGCGAAATGTTTTTCTAAGTTGTATTTTTGCATCCTATCCAACATTCCTAGGCATTTTTAGGCCTAGTTTAAGACATCTTGATGAGGATATCGTTGTAGAACACACCAAGGCAAATTAGGGATTAAGTTATGATATTTCCCAACTGTGTAGCTTAGTGTGTTCAACCTGTGAACTGTGTAGGGTTGGCAACTGGGGAGACACGCTCTAGCATACTGTAGCCCAGAACTCTGTGAGTAACAATTGTGTAAAGATATGTTCAACTGATTATCTTTTGAATACTGAACTGAACTGTTTACTGAACTGGATTTTACTGAATGAATGTATGTCCTTTATTTCTGAACTGTACTGTGGCATCCTTAGTACCTACTGTTTACTGTTACTGTTACTGTTACAGAGATCTCTGTCGGTTCCCTCGTGGAGCCACTACTGTTTACTGACTGATGGCCATCATTACTGTTCGGTCTTTTAAGACCTACTGTTACTGTTATGCTAATGGATGTACCACATATGACTGTTTACTGTACTGAACAACTGGAATACTGATTGAATTGAACTGTTTTTCATTACTGTAAGGACATTCATTCTAAACCTCTTTACGCTTTATGTTATTCACTGGGCTTTAGCTCACTGCTCATATATATATGTAGGTGTACAGGCACCAGATCGGAGCTAGGAGCGTCAGGGTAACTCCAGTTTTGTCAAGCCAGCCTTTGTGCCTCACTGCGAGGTTCCGAGTTGCCATGCTATGGCTTGGGGGGGTTTTGTTGGTTTTCCCCCGCCTGTCTTCTGTACTGTCTAACTGTTCTGTATAGACTGACTGTTTACTGTACTGTTATACAGGGATTAGGTCCCTGTACTGTGTGACTGTAAATTTTGTATAGACCGTACTGTTTTGTACAGACGGAATGTTTTCTGTACTGTTCTGTAGGGTTGAGTCCCTAGTAGAATAGATGTAAATCTTGTACATACTGTTCTGCACCGTTTATGTATGAATGCATGAAAAATCTTTTTGGCATACAGACTGTCACAGCTCGTTGGACATTGTTTAATTACTGTATTGGCTTCCGCCAGGCCCTGTACTCTGTTTTACTGTATTACTGTTCTGCAGGCCTTCGGTAATCTCGGATTACTGGCCGGTTACGGTGCTAAACCCATAGGGCCGGGGTTGGGGTCGTGACAATGATGACGGGAAAAAGAAGGTAGTGTTTTAAGGTTAGATTGATATAATCTTAAAGAAATTTCCTTTTCTATTTCTTTATTATTATTATTATTATTATTATTATTTATTTCTTAAAAGAAATGAAAATCTTACACGTGAGGTTTAATGGGACTTGTCCCAGGCATATTTTAATGATTTAAATCGTTCATATTATAAGTTTCGTTAAGCATATTATTCACACAAAAAATCAAGTTAATTGAACATGCGAAACTTCATTATCAAATCTTTGTTATTTTAAAACAAATTATCAAAATTATTCTAACTATTTATGTTTTTCAAAACAAATGTGGTGAAAAGGGAAGTACCAACTGCTGCTGTAACCTCTATCCCTCAAGCCTCAGGATTGAAAAGTGCAGCACCAGCCAAGGGAGGCACATCCAAGAAGAGAGGGTGAACACAATAGTAATGTGGGATTGTTTTTGGTGTTTGCAATGTACTTCATTTCAACTATTTAGTAATGTAAGAATGTTTTTTGTGTTTGTAATGAAAATGAACTTAAAACTTTTATGAATGGAAATGATGATGATATTTTTCTTTAAATGGGGAAAGGGGGGGCAGATCTGTTATTCGTTTTTTTTTTTTTTTTTGGTAAACACAATCAATCATTATAAAAGATTTGGGCACACAATTGTTCCATACAAAACCTTCCATTCATTACATATCCAACAACTTACATAACAAATATATTGCATAGGAAATAACAAACCATTTTCATTCCACTCACACAACCCTCACTGCACCCTACATAACCTGTCAGCCATCAACATCTTCTACAGCAACAATACCAAGGTGATAAGCCAAGACACAACCAAACAAACCCAGAGTATCTTCTCCTTCATTTTCATCTCTAATATTTTCTCTTCCATCATAGTAATACTTCGTAGGAGTCCTGGTATAACTTGCTTTGACTAGCCATACATAGGTACATCAAACTACTGGAAAAATCCACATCCTCCCCCATTGAGCCCATATCCTTCGCAACATAAGAATCGTCTTCCCAGGTTCAAGTTTGTCCAAGATGTCTCCATTACAGCAGCTTTGCCACATGAGCAATACGTTGCATTCAATCGGTACATTGTTCTTCCTCTTTCTCTTCTTTGTGTTTTTTTTTTTTTTTTTTTTTTTTGTCCATAGACATGGTTGTTCTTGTATATATATTGGAAAATGTTTGGGACCCCACAAAGGAGGACCCCTACTGATATATTGACCATTAATGTGTTTGAATTTTTTTTTTCTATTTCTGACAGTGACATGAATGGTTCAGATCATTTTAGAGGTTGTGGAGGTTGTGTTTTGTGGAGGTCTCTATCATTAGGTATATATCAGAGGACTAGCGGGAACATTCCCTTCAATTTTATTTGTCTGTAAAATGTCCCTTTTTCCCTTCACTAACGCTATGCCGTTAATAATTTGGACGGCATACACAAATTGGACTTGATAGACATACTTTCTTAAAGTTTAGGGACTACATAAACACAATCAATAGTTAAGGGACCAAATAGACAAAACGCGAATAGTTTAGGAGATAAAAGTGCAATTAACCCCTACTGAAATTAACTTAATCTTATCTATTTATTTGTTTTAAAATTATTTCTAATTAATTTTAAAAATAAATTTTAAATCATTGTTTAAAACAATGCACAGTACGGATTTTACACTAATAGATAATAAGAAATTACTTTCTCATTCCAATCTGTTTCAATCGTGGGAACTTGGGAAGTTTGAAACCCAAAATCACAATCACATTCCCATTCCCTATGTTAAAGCATCTACAATAGTCAGGCCCTGTTTGGGTTAAAGTATACAGTCACGGTAGAGATCTCTAATTTAGTAATTCTAACCCATCACTAATGAAGTGGAAAAGAAAAAAAAAAAAAAAAAAAAAAATAGACACAACACACACTGTGACAGTGGGTGCATCATTAGTGATAACACTAATTAGTGTTCTCACTCATTTTCCTAAACTATATAAGTGCACTTTTGTGCATAAGTGTATTTGAGTCACATCAATCAATATCTCCTCTCTATTTTTCTACACATATTTTTAACTTTTTTTTTTATTATAAAAAGTCAAAAAAATGTACTTACTCTTTTTTCTGTTCATTAAATTAAAGTGAAAAGCTTGATTTGGCATAGAATACTTTGGTTCTTTACTTCATGTTTTTCATCAAATATTTTTGAAAACTTTCAAACTTATCCTAAAATGATGTTTTAACTATTTTTCATGAAGGAAAAAAAAATTATTATTATTATTATTTTTTTTTGGAACAATAAAAGGAATATATAGATTAAGAAGGAGCAATAAGTACATCTTGAGAAAGAAGAGATTTGGCAAAACAACCCAATTAACAGGTGGTAAAAACTTGTGTTCAATTCTTGTTCTTTTTATTAAATTTGAATAAAAATATATAACTTTCGAAAGTATGGTTTGATCTTGACATAGTAAAAATTGTCTCTTCATTGATATGATACAAATTTAATAAATTTTGAATTTGATAAAAGGATTAAAAAGGATTGTAGAAACTCGTGCAACTCACAATTCATAACAAAAAATTCAAAATGTATGTCATGAATTTTATAAAACACCAACACTTTAAGACACTTCTAGGATTTGTGCCGTGTAATTATTTGATATATGTAGAATAGAAAGTGGTACATACCCGGATAATTTTAACAAGCTCAAATACGAGGTCCGTTTATTAACATTAACAAAGTGAGTTATCTCAAACTTTCAGGTGTTACTGTATTTTTTTTGCAAATTTTAAATGTTGTTAGTGTAATTTACTCAAAACAAAACAAAAGGAGGAGAAGGGAGAGAAAAGAACAAAAGCAGAAGGACAATAAAAGAGGGACTTACGGGGCGGTCTTATGGACCGGTCTTATTGCCCGACAAGTCTTACCTAAAAAAATCAAACAGTGTTTTCTATTTTTAGCCCTAGACTCAACACTGCAACATCCAGCCACCGTTTCTGTGAGAAACACACAGACACTGGTAAATGTTATCAGTATTTACCAAATCACTTAAAATTACTTATTCTTTCTCACTCTCATACTCACATACATACACACTCACTTACTAATTCACAAAAATAAATTGACAAAAATTCAATAGAAACAAATTTATCACTGATTTATCATTAGTTTAAACAAATTTATCACTGGTTTAAATAGATTTATCACTGAGATCTTCCTCAATATACAGAGAGAGAGAGAGAGAGAGAGAGAGAAGACCCGGCAGCAAAGAGCCTAGATCTAGAAGTGGAGGCGACGACGACTATAGATGTGGAGGTGACAATGATCGGCAGCGACAATGGATGTAGAAGCGAAGATGCTGGTGGCAGTGGAAGCGAAGACATCGGTAGAGGTGGAAGCAATGGTAAAAGTGGAAGAATATGCCGGTTAAGGTCGTCGACAATAACGACAGTGAAAGTGGCAGTGGTCGGCAACGATAGAGATGGTGATGGTCGTCAGTGGAGAAATGTGTGGAGAGTGAAAGAGAGAGAGCTTCTTTTTTTTCCCCCATATTTTTCATCTCCAGATCTGAGTATAAAAACATGAGGACAAAAACGGAATAAACAAAAATGTTCAGGATCTATAGGTACAAGAGTCTCTATTAAGGACCTGTTGGGTAACAACCATTGAAAATAGGATTAGCCCGTAAAAATCCCTAGACAAAAGGTTGAAAAAAATAAAAAATTACATTCAACTTGTTTGATGTTAGTTTTCAAAAACACTTTTAGAAAAATTTTACTTTTTTATTTTTCGTATTTTTTTTTATTTTTAATGAATTTTTTTAATATTTTAAACAAATTTTTTTTTTAATTTTTAAACACAACTAACATAAATACACTTAAAAAATATAATATTTGTAAAAAACGTCTTCAAAAAAATCACTAAATATCAAAAATATAAAAATTTAATACATTTTTCATATTTTTGTATATTTATTAAAATTTTAAAATATTTTTTCACAAATATTTTACTATTTAGATACATCTAAATGAGATACATTTAAAAAAATAAAAAAAAATTACTTAAAATTTTAAAATATTCACTAAAAACAAAAAAAAATACAAAAAATTAAAAAATTAATTTTCAAAAAACTAAATTTAAAAAATTAAAACAAAACACACTGATTTATTCTGATGGCTGATGAACACACAAAAAGATTTTTATTTGACTATGGCCCACAATGTTTGTTTTTTACTTTTATTGTGTGAGGCCCCACTCTGCATGGTAGATTCTTCTCCATCCACCTAAATAAAAAGAACACAATTAATCCCCTCACCTAACCTTTACATCTTCTTTATCCCAAGACAGCTCACCCTCACCACCACCATCACACACTAAAAAATCACACACAAAACATAACGCAGTCCATGGTATCAGTAACTAATGACTCTGACCTCTTCCTTCCTTCCTTCCCATGCAATCAATCCACAGTTCAAACCACCCAACCCAAATGTTTTCTTCACCAGTTTCCCATTTCCCCATCCATGGCTGCATTCGAGCTTCAAAAATTCCACAAAAAAAAAAAAAAAAAAAAAAAAAATCAATACCCTTTTGTAGAGAAGTGAATAGCATCTCACGTGGGACTTTACACATGTTTGATTTGCTACAAAACAAACTATCATAAAACAATGAGAATAAAGCACTAAATCATTTTAATTGCAAATAAAATGCCTCATTTTTTTTCTTTTTCTTTTCCTTTTATGTAGAAAAGGATACTTGAGTTGGAAGAAAAGTTGGAAAGTAAAAATGGGCCTTCATATGCACCAAGATAAATCAGTTAGGTCACTGATGCAAAATGTGAAAATGGGTTGAGTTAATTTGTTGTCGAAGTATGATTAGAGGTACCGACGGTTGATATAGAAGACATAATAAATTATTTTTCCTTTTTACCATCCTTTTCTATTCTAAAATATTGCTTAAATTGTTTCATCAATTCCATCTTTTCATTATTTTTTCGCTTTCTTTTTGGATTGTTTATTCTTTTGAATGCAGCACTGTCTATAATATTTAACACCGTAGGAACAACAGATTCGAGTGAAAGGTGAAACCAATGTTACATAAGTGAGAGGGAATTGTGCTCGCAGGTGATCGGACAGAAACGGAGCTTGGAAGAAAGGAGTACGGGCTTGCCGGAATATTTGCTCCCCGTACAATAAGCTACAAGTGCAACCATGTTAGTTTAATAACATTGGGATTATAATATAATCGGTTAGTTTGACAATTCAACAGCTAACAATGTTTTATGCAGGTGTGAAGGTGCATGTCATGCATGGAAAGATCACAATTACATTACACCTAAAAAAGATTAAAAAAAATAAATTAAAAAAATGCACAATTTTGACGCACTTTCAATGTTTGAATGCGTGGGATTGGTTGGCTCAATTTATTTGGTAAATAGACAACAATTTAGCATAAATGAAGTACCTTTGCATCATTGTGCCATAATCATAATCAGTCAGACCCTATGCAATTAGGCTATCATCGAATGAGTGATGTATCGGGGAATTTGTATAGAGATTAATAAAAAATAACTATACTTGGATCTTAATCTAAGGTAGCCTAGAGATGACTCTAACCTCACGACATAGTGCTGGTCAGGACAATCAGTCGTATTAAAGACTAAAGAGGATTAGAGCAACCAGTTCAGAGATGAAGTATTTCTTTTTCTTTTTTTTGTGGATAACAAAAGTATGTTATGAATGAGTTGTGATCAAGATAGAAAGAGAAATAAAAAAATCAGAAGACCTAAATGATAGAATCATATACCTTTGCTCTTCTTTGAAGTAATCTTTGATGCATGGAGTGGAGAGCATTTTCACTGGCATATAGTAAACTGGGAATCTTGCCCCAAGGTCCCAAGCATACGGCACGCTACTTCAAGCAATTTCCCTGAAACAAAACATTATAGAATCAATTATATTAGCCCTTTTTGAATCAGTGTGTGTATATCTAGGTTAGTACACCTTTCTTTAACTTCAATTAAAAAAAAAAAAATTAAGAAGCACAAGCACGGGCACGATAACACAACAATTTTTTAGTAATACATAGCATGATAAGTGGGGGATACGTGCAAAATATATACTTTCATATATTTATGATAGGTCCTATATATAAATATTTCATTTAAAAACATAAAACAAATACAAATTTCTAAAGTACTAATTTCATTTAGAAATTATAAGCATGAATCTACACGTGTCGGGAAGTGTCCAACAACATCAGTTTCCAAAACAGACATGCATCCTCTCAGATCTCTCTTAGTTTAAAAAAAAAAAATTAAAAAAAAAAAGAAAAGAAACCGTGTTCACGATAGCCCATAGGCTTCTTGTTAATAAAAACATAATGCTAAACTATTTATAATCTTGATACATTTTCTACATATCCCAAAACACTTTTAACACATTACAATATACTTTCTATACATCAACCAACATTTTTTGTTAGCATTTTCCAAAAAAAAAATTATGGATCACCCAAAAGCAACCCAATAACTTCTATTAGTTTAAGAAAGTAACATCACTCCAATAAAACAAGTAGGACAAAACTGTCATTATAAAGCATGTATGAATGATGCTATACAATTAGCATCAAAATTAATTACAATAATAAGAGAACTCAATGGGTAGGCTTCCAGGCTTCTTCACAATCAGTCAGATCAGATGCTCTTCTGACAGCTAGAATTGGGAAGATGCTAGGGTACAGAGAGAAGATCAAATTATATATACAAAAATGTTACACCAATTCAATGATTTGGATCTTTAATAAGGCAGTTGCAATTTTTGTATTATAATATAAACTGGGTCCAAACTTCAGCATGGTGGCCATGAAACTATATACTTAATGTTGTTATATTAAAATAATAATGACAATGAAAACAAAACAAATCAAACCCATATGCGTATTATATAAAGCAAACTGTTAGCATAAGAAAGAAAGATAATAGCTTGGTAGTAGGAGGTGAGTCAATCAAGATCCCTGAACAAAACTCTATTCTATGATCTCATAGTGGTGGGACTTCTTGTATTGTTTCATCTTTTTGGCTTTATGTTTGCTTAATCCGAAAACAACCATTCAGCTAACATTTCTATCTCGCGCCGACACTCGACTACCTTACCATACTTGGCCGGTTTGGCTTTTCCAGAGGCAAAAGCATTCCTACCTACTGTATGTTATGACATGGACGACATGACTGCCTGGGTATCTTGTGAAATTTCTCAGTAAATTCCATGTCAAGATGGGGTGTCATTTTTTAAGTGCTCCTACTGTACCATAAAAGGTGAAATTTTCCGGGTGTAAACACAAAGAACGTCTTCATTTATGAGTTACAGATTCATAAGGACATTAAACAAAATTACTGAATGCCGTGTGTGAGGGGGCCAATGTCACAAAAAAATCTATAAATGAGGCTCGCATAAGTCTCACTCAAATGAGGAGTCTCAGATTTATTTGTGACATTACCATATACTACATTGAATAGTTGCTCCAACTACCAATTGATACTTCATGGTAGAGATCTCAAAACCTATCCCATCTAATACAACATCATCGAAAAGGAAACTTGGTAAAACCATGTCTTTTTCTGACTCCAACGCCTTTAGTCCCTAACCCTTTTCTCTTATCACAACAACCAAATAGATAATCACTACACATCAAGCAAAAATATCGTTCTTCCCCTAAATTACAAAAATAGGGCAAGAAGTGCCACTCAAGAACTCAATAACCTACTTTTAATCCTAAAAACTAACAATAATGCCATGGAGATATCAATTTTTTATTATGCATAACCCATAACAATAATGCATATTTTTTTAATTATAAAAAAAAAATACGATTATTAAATCAATACATTGGCAACAAACAATTCAAATGATTCTAAAGGCCTTTTTTTTAGATGGGAAATGATATCTAAAATGAAACTTTTGAATTGTAGGATATTAAAAAAAGACACATTATTGTAAAACTAACATTTTTTATTATGCAAAACCCATAATGCATATTTTTTTAATTATGAAAAAAAATACGATTATTAAATCAATACATTGGCAACAAACAATTCAAATGATTCTAAAGGCCTTTTTTTTTAGATGGGAAATTATATCTAAATTGAAACTTTTAAATTGTAGGATATTAAAAAAAGACACATTATTGTAAAACTAACTCGAAATGTTTAGATGACCCCCCAAAAAAAATACTTCTTCAATTTTTGAGGACCTAAAAAATGAATAAACAACCATCACGGGGCCAAAACTACTACCTACAAAAATGGAAAATATCATTTTAGTGAAAAATAGGGAAAATATTTACAAATTAATGAAAAACTTTGCTATATTAAAAGTCAAATTCATAAAAATAAAAAAAAAATTCATGAAATTGATATTTATTTTTTAACTTTTCACTTATTTTCCCTTGAAAAAAAAAAAAATTGACCACAAAAAGACAGTTTTATCCTCTGACCATTCCTGACCCACCGACAAACACAGTCCCACTCCATCTACACTGTTGCATTGTTTGTCCCCCCCCCCCCCCCCCCCCCCCCCTACCCATCACCGGCATTCCCAATTTCCACCGGCCAAACAGAAAATTCCGGCGTCACCCAGAACACAAAAATCAACAAACAGCCCTCAAATTTCAGTAATCAAGCAATGAAAAAGCTAAAAAACATACCTCTTCTAGGCTTGGCCACAACTTTAACAACAGTTTTCGATTGGATCTTCGTCTCCGGTTTCCCCTCCTCCGCCGGAAACAACACGCCGTCGATCCCCTGAACCGAAATCCGGCCGTCGATGTAAATATCTGGGTCGAACAAGTACGCCGAAGCATCACCATCTCCGAATTTCACAGACCCATCAGCCTCCTGAGCCACAACCTTGTGGGTTAATCTCAGGGTATCGTATTTCACCTTCGAGAACCTCCTCACCGCATTGTACATGCTCTCTTCGGTCTGGTACTCTGGGATTATGTGGTAGTACATGATCTGTTCCGGAGCACCTGGTTCGCTCAGCTGATCGGTTGTCAGCTTTGCCATAGCTTCGTCGTTCGGTGCCAAAACTGTTAGAACATAGCCTTCAGAGACGAGTTTACCCATTTCAGTGGCTAAGTTCGTCAGATTCACCAGAATGTCGGCCATTTCGTTGTACCCGCCATAGTGGAGGAGGGTCTGGATGAAGTCCTTGACCTGGGTTTCGCCGTCGAAGTGGTGGCGTGGTCCGCCGGGTCCAGGCGCCGGAGCAGGGGCCAAAGATGGTCCGGGAGCCATGGCGTCGTAAATCGGGAGAACCGGCGGCGAACCGGCCGGAACCGGCGGCGGAACCTTTTTCAGGCGGTGGGTCCGGGGGTCTACCTCCGGTGCACCCTCCGGTTTCACGGCGGAGATCGATTCCAAGCTCCGCCGCTTGTTGAAGTCTTGTTGTACGGAGTCTGGGATTAACAACCGTTCGATCCCGTGGATGAGTCCGTCTGGACGGACCAGATCGTCCGGGCGGACCACCCTTGCCGCGGATAACTCAACTGGGTGGTTCGCAAGCGTGTTGTGCTGGGTTGAGTCAGTAATTGAGTCCGGCCACTCGCTGAACCCAATCCTCTTGGGGACTATGTGATAGAGCAAGAGGGTCTGGAGAGATTTGAGATTCCTGGGTTCGAGCAAGAATCGCTTGAACTCTGGGTCAAGGTCGCGCTCGATGGCTTCGTTTTGAGGTGCGAAAATGGTGATATTGTAATGAGACACAGCTTGTTCCAAAGTCTGCAAAAGGAGGGCCTTTTCGACGAGCTCGGCGAGTTCGGTGTAGTGGGAGTCGAGGAGAGCGAGGAGGACTGAGTTGGAATTGATTTGGGGCTGTTTTTGGGCAAATGTAGGGGTGAGCTGAGGTGTAATGAAGAGGAGGAAGAGGAGAGAGAATAAGAGTTTGGGCGCCATGGAAGAGAACATTGTTGAAGCTGTTGGCGGTGGTCTGTTGTATTGAAGAAAAAAGAGGCTTTATTCACTTCCAAGGCACCGTGACAGTGTGGCGTTTTTTTATTTTATTTTTTATTTTTTGAGGCTGCTGTGCTGTGTATATTTAACGGCGTCGGTCGGTTGTTTGATGTGGTGAATAACAGGAAGGAAAGGCTAGGATTCGCACGTGTTAAGGATTGCAAAGCAACTCCTCTACCCAATGCTATTCGCCCTTTCCCTCCGCCCATGTATTGGTCTTATTTGTGATTATATATATTAATTAAAAACTTAAATAGTTATTAAATTATCAAATTATTTTTTCTAATTTTTTTATATATATTTTTTCGTAAAAAATTTAAAAATTATTAAAATAATTTATTTCTAAATAAAACCTAATAATATCAAATTTGATGTAATTTTTTCTTATAAGTTGAGATTTATAAAGGTTTATTTTAGAAAGATGGTTGCAAGTTGACTTTTTAATTTTTTTTGACACTTTTCAAAAAAATATATACATATGAGAGATGATATTATTCAAAATAAATTAAAAATTAATTTTTAACTTTTAACTGGCTTCCCAGAAGAAGCCTAAATGTGAGTTTCAATTTATATAAAAATATTTCCCTCGGATTCTTTAATGAAATTATGTGTATGTAGACAACTGTTTGTTGAGTCAAGAAGAGTAAAAACTGAGACTTTAGGCAAAAAAATTAACAAATTGATGGGCAAATAAATACAAATACACGAGGATTAGGATGAGGGGGGAAAAAATATAAAATCATAGATGAATTTACATTTTTGTCTTTGTAGACACTCCATTTTTGACCGTTCTCAAGACTTGGACGCCACAGGTTGATTACTTGAGGACGAAGGCTATGTTGTACAAAGGTTCGATTTCTTTGGCAAGGAAAGCGTCAAATCCTAACCTTACACCCCATTTTTAGACCCAAAAAAATTTAGACCTTAAAACCCTCTCTTTCAAAATATTTTTGAAAAAAGTTTCTACGATGTTCTGAGGCTCGCATTTCGTTAAATGTTGCGCTTTTCGGTAAACCAAGCAAGGACAAAGTGGAAATAAATGAAAGAGATGTGAAATTTTTTAAAAATCTTTCAAAACACCTTATTTAAAGGTTTGGAGTTGAAGAAAATAAAAGGGGAGAGAAGAAACCAAGTTGGGGAAGAAGTTGGGCATAAATCGTTAAGAGAGAATCGAACAGCCCTCACTAAATCAGGTTTATCCTTTTGTACACTTGGATTTCAGCTATGATGTCATCACTGTTGGAAAGTAGACATCTGGGGCTTCATTTTACACTCAAAAATCTCCTAAAGCCGAGTTCGGATGAGGGAGATATGGCTGGTTGAAGTTTGGCATCAATCCGATTAGGACCGAAACTGAGTAGTCTTGACTAAAATGAGCATATCTTTTTTCACACTTGGAATTTTGATGTGAGGCTTCCACCATTGGAAAGAAGACTTCTGGGGCTTCAATTTAGGCTCAAGAATGACTTGCAAAGGAGTCCAGATGAAGAAGATATGCCCATTTAAAATTGGACCTGGAGAGCAAATTTTTGTGGTTGGCCACTTAATGGCTTGTCGGCCACGGGTGTGGCCGGTCAGCCACCAATGATGGCCGGTCGGCCACTGGTGCAAGGAAAGCTCAGATTTTGCAGATATTTACCTCCAGTTATCTCCCACAAGCTCCAGCTGTCTGTTTTGTTGATATTATTCTCTATTATTTTGAAGGTTAGAAAGATTTGGGAGCCTCTCTCTCTACAATCCTCTCTCTCTACAATTCTCTCTCTCTAGATTTCTCTCTCTCTTGCCCTTTTGTGCATACAAGTAGGGATACACTTCTAGTTTGCCTATCAACCCTTAACCAAAGTTGCTTATCTTTGGGCTGAGATTCCTTGGGACCTCGTTTGAGCTTTAGAATGTGATTTTAACTTGGTTTGGTGCATCATTTGTGCCTAAAGTGTGCTTGGTTTCAAGAGGTATAACCTTTACCTTTTAAGCTTGTTTTTCATACTTGTTTTTACCATCTTTTTGTACTGTTTTTGGGGTGGTTTTGAACTGAAAAAACATCTATTTTTGTGGCTTAAAAGTGTTGGTTTAAGGCCATTTCAAGTTAGGGGATGGTTCACCCTTCTTACTCATTTGTTGTTAAAGCTTTTGTGCCATCTTTCCTCACCTTCAAATCAAACTTTTTGGGCCTTTAAACCACTGAAATTCAGAGGTTTATCAATGACAAAAATCCTATTTTGAAGTCCAAAATTAGAAGGGTTAGCCTCCCCTCCTTGTTGTCTTGCTTGCATGTCTAGTTGTCTTATGTGTTAACTTTTTTTTTTATAGTTTAATTTAGCTTATTTTCAGCATGTTTTGCCTCTGATTTCGACTGCTTTAGCTCTGTTTTGGGCTGTTTGTGTTGTATGAGTAGTCTTTTGTATAGTTGTAGTGTAAAGGGCTTCACTAGCTTAGTGTTTTAGGCTTTTAAACATGAATTGCATGAGTTGCTTGCATGTTTTAGTGTCATTTTGCACTCCATTTCAGCACTGAAATCTCTGCCATCTCCCTCTATTCTTCACTCTTTCATTTATTTTGAAAATGGTTTTCAACCCCTTGTTGACTTGAGTGTGAAATTGAGTCATTCATGCTTAATGGTTTAATCCCCTCAGGGGTTCATTATCAACAACATGAGGTCTCTTTCATGCTTAAGGCACTTGTGGTTTAAGCCCACTTTCCATTAGAGGACACTCACCTTTTGGACTAATCAATTAAGGAATGGATTGGTAATCTAAAATGAGTAAACAAAAATCAACAAGTAAAAGAGGCAAGATTGAGCATCTTCGTGTTGCATTGCATGTGTTTAGATCGGACGTTAATTCGAACACGAGGAAAATGGGACGTTTCATACTCAAAGTGATGAAACGTGGCACTTTCCTTGGTCGCCATCACCCTTGATCATACATGATAGGGTTGTGGCTTTGTTGAGTCTTGTTTTGCACTCATCAAGCTTGTACAAGCTTGGCTCCTTAGTCATCTGCATGGAAAATGCTTGGTTGATGGTTTGAGGGCCTAGAGTTGCACTCCTTTGAACTTGTGTGATGATAAGGAGGATAACAGTACACACACTCCTTGAGAATACATTGCTTTGCCTCTGTTTGCTCTCTGTTGCAGTAAAATAGGAAGTTCAGGACAGCAGTGACCGACAGCCACCAGCAGTAGCCGATCGGCCACCAATGGTAGCCGACCGGCCATCAATGAAAAAAGTTGCTCAGTGTGTTCCTAAGGTGGATCAGAATTGTTCTGGGAGTTGGCACAATTTTCAGTGATCAAACATGTGAAAACAGAGGCTGCAATGGCAAGGCGGTGACATTTTCAGGTGGAGAAGCCGAACATGCATGCATCCCTCGTCCCTCGAGGCCATTTAACTGCTTTATTTAGTTAATTAGTGGTAGCTAATTTACTTACTTTGTAACTAGATAGTTAAAGGGCCTGTTTGGTAACGTTTACGTTTTCAGTTTATATTTACAAAAAATTTATAAACTGGTTTTTGTTTATTTTTCGTTTATTTTTAGAAAAACATAAACTACAAATGCGTTTGGTTTAGACAAAATGTTTAAAAAAGTTTAAAAATATAAAAAAGAGTGAGAAATGGCAAGTGGTGGCGGCAGAAGACGGTGATGGAAAATGATGGCGATTGGTGGTGACAGAAGACGGTGGTGGAAAATGGTAGTGAATGGGTAGTGGTGGTGGTGGTGGGTGGATGGGTGACGGTGGCGGGTGATAGCGAGTGGGTGGTGGCGGGTGGTGGGTGGTGGTGGTAGGTGGGTGACGGATGGTGGTGGGTGGGTGGTGATGGTGGCGGGTAACAAATTGTAGAGTCCATCACATTACATTTCCCAAAATTGCCACATTTGTTATACACTTCACATTCATTAGCAGGTTGCAATTGCATAATCCTCCATTCTTTTTTACCATCATCCCACCAAAGTTGTGCTTCATTTCCATCCCAACCAATCCGAAACCTCAACGGATCAGAACTGTTTGAAGAGGTATATGTAAAATACAAGCTACCATTTCCCTCATTGAAAAGCTTAAAACCATACAAATAGATAGCCCTCATGGTTGGAACACCGGTAAATATTAGTCCATTCCAATGCCCACTTCTCCAATGTCGATTTAGCCCATCCCATATCACTATCTGTGGTGATCCCCGAGGATCAACGCCCATTGAGTATCGTCCAAGCGAAGGATCGTTATCACTTGTCCAACTAGTGAAAACACGAGTCTCTCCGGCCCTGACATTCATGTAGACCGTCATGCCCGGTAGGAATGTATCGGTGGGCTCATTGAAGCTCTGCCACAAGGCCTTGTGGTGGTGGTGGTGGTGGAGGTGAGTGGTGGTTGGTGGGTGGTGGTGGCTGGTAGTGGCAAGTGGGTGGTGAGTGTGGGTGGGGGGGGGGGAAGACGGGGGTGGAAAATGGGGGCGGGTGGTGGCTAGTGTTAGGTAGTAAAAAAAAAAAAAAAAAAAAACTCAAACTCAAAACGCAAACTCATTTTTTGAGTTTACATTTTTTGGCTAAATTTATAAACTGAAACCATTAATTTATAAATCAAAAATTTATCAAACAAGTTTTTATTTGAGTTTTTAAAATTTTTGTAAATATAAACTGAAAACATAAGTGTTACCAAACAGCACCAAAGTGTTTAGCTAATTAATTCGTTTTGTAATATTTAATTAGCTTAGAATAAGTTAGCTAAGTAGTTTCATTTTGTAATAGTTAGCTTAATTAGCGTAGCTAGTTAGTTAGCTTATCCATTCGGACCCTCCTTCGCAGGGCCTAATATTGTAATAAGTGTGCGTGCATGCGTGTGTGCATGTCTTCCAACCCCGCGTCTTTCTCCTTTTTATTTAATCGCTTTCGATGGTTAGATTAGAGACATTTTCAATTAGCATACCTTATGCTCGCATGTTTGCATCTATCCATTTGTTTTGCATGCACCGAGACTCGGCGCATCATTCAAACTGCATTGTCAATTTTAATACTTCTTTGAATACGTGTTTCAAAGTATGCTATAAAAGTGTTACAAATACCATGATTAGG